AGGACCCCGAGCTATTAGTATATAGGTTACAAGAAGTTAAAATTTTTTTATAATACCTCTAAGCATGAATTTTTACTAATATTAATAAGCATTATTAGTATATAACTTTAAAATTTTATTAAAAATAAGCAAATAAATTATCTAACTTATAAAAAATATCAAAGAGTATAAAAATTTTTTGTATACCCGCATTCCCATATAACCTAACAATCACTGGATATATAAACAATAATAGATTTCATGGTTCCGTGGCATTGCATTACTGAACTTTAGGTGTCGTTTGGCGTTTGGATTTCATCGCTTTGATGACTTCGCATCATCATTTTACTAGAATTTTGCTAGTTGTTTTCTGATGTCTTTCTGATGTTCTTGTGGCTGTGAATTTTGTTGCCTGGGTGTTCCGTGTTGTCAAATTTGTATGTATAATTTTAAGTGCTGTCATTTTGATGTTGTTTAATAATGGATAGGCTTACAAGAACATTACACTGATTTTCAATGAATAATCTTGGATTAGAAGAGAAGAGGCACATTGTAAAAACACCAATTGAATTTTTGCGCCTTAATAGTAACAAACTTAGAGGATTCGCAACTGTTTATTGGCCAATTGGCTAGACAGAATTAACAGTTCATCGTGAGATGTTGCACTTAAACTGATTCGTGATTCAAACAAAAATGTACAAGAACTTATCCAAGAATTGAAGCATTACAAATTGGTCATGAGAATCCTTCGTTCTTGAACTTTTATGGAGTATCACGGTGATTATATTATTGTTACGCAATTGCACCAGAAAATTCGGTATGACAAATCTTGTACAAGTATCACAACTAGGGTGGAAAGATAAATTAAATATTTTGTATAGTATAGCTTTGGATCTTGAGTCGATTCATTCGCAGGAACTCATTCACAGATTTATACAGCAGAAATATTCAACGTAATTTGCAAAATGCGTATATCACTGATCTTGGACTTTCTAAAAAAGTGAATAGAGGAAAAGCTTCTGGGATTCTGCCATATGTAACACCTGAGATTTTGATGGGTCAGCCGTACACTCAAGCATCAGATATTTATAGTCTTGGAGTCGTCGCGACAGAGATTTCGGGTGAATAAAAAGGAGAAAAAGCGTTAGCGACCTTGGAAAAAAATATGGATGAACTTGTTTAGGCCAGTTATTTGTTATGCAGTTTTTTTTGGTCATGTTTTGCAAGTTGTCATTGGCTAACTGAATTTTATCCGATATCTGTCAGATGAAAATTTGTTTATTTTAACTAATAGGCGAATTCCATGTCTAATCAAACTCAGTTTTTTCAAGCATCTAGGTTGCCTATCATAAATGCAAAATGTGAATATACTTCTTAATGATGTAACTCTCATTTGCGTGCTTGGCCCAGGTCTTGTGAAAAGCATTAGCAGATGCAACACTCAAGACTAGTTGTTGATTAGGACTTAATTATGATTTCGGAGATTGGGTTTAGAGTTAGAAATGGGTGAAATGGATTAGGTTCAGGGAAAGTTAGAAATGGATTAAATGGGCGTTAGAATTAGAAATGGGTAAACCGGGTTTTGGGGTTAGAAATGTTAAAACGGATTTAGAGTTAGGGATGGTTAAGATATTATTAGTGCTTAAATTAGTGAATATATTGTATATAAATTAATAAAAATAAAGGATTTTAATTACAGTACAATAAATATAATATATATATATTAAGTTATATACTATTATATATTGTGTCACGTAATGTGGGTATATGTACCTTCGGGTACATGTATATTAACCATTATTTTTATTAATAACTATTTTAAACTTCGCTAAAAAATAATTTTTATTAAAAAATTATTTTTTGAACAACATCTTCCCGATTAAAGTAATCAAAATATTTTTTTTCATTTTCTAGCAACTTCAAAACATTTCCATCAATTAATACTCCTAACTTATTAATATGATAAATAATATTAGAAGCTAAATGATGTGTTAAAAGACTACAACCTTCTTTTAAAATATCACTAAACAAATTCAAATGAATAGGTAAGTAAATTTGTAATGAAATATAAGAAATATCATTCAAATTTGTAACAGGTTCATCCGTATAACAGTGATTATTATAATTTTCAAAATATAATGCTATAACTTTTCCAATACACACGGTTTCACCATATAGAACAAAAACATAATCGCCTTTCAATAGTGGAAAATTATCTGATATGTTTGCATTTTGGATGTTAGGAACTATTAGGTGATTATTTTAAAATTAAAAATAAAATTTAGTAATATTAAATCTTAATAAAATCTAAGTTTAAAATTTTAAAAACGCATAATCTAAATACATACTTGAAATTAAATTCGATTGAACTTTTTTTTTGTTTGAGGTTTTCTTTTTTTTTGATTTTTCAATTTCTTCAGAATGTAATTGTGCAAGTGTCATTAACATATTTCTCTGATTTTCCTTCCAATGTTTTTCTCTTTGTTTAATGAATCGTTGTTCAGGATTTTTATTTTTTGTAAAATACGCAGTTAAATGACTAGCCTTATTTGGAAGAACAGAGCTTATCGTATTGACTTTAATAGTGCTTGGTGCCTTCAATTTAACCTTCCGTTCAAGTAATTTAGAACAATATGCATCGTGCAATTTACGTTGATTAAGTAAAAACTCAAAATTCAAAGTATTTTCTGAAAAATATCGATAATCTAGATTAACTATTAATTTATATTTTTATAAAATAACAATCAAAGATGTAATTTCAAATTGCGATCTAAATTAAATATAATTCAGATTGTAATTTAAAATTACATCCTGACTATTATTATAAAATATAGCAATCTAGTTAGTAAATGTTATAATAGAATCGAGAAAATGAGACTTCGGGCTTTTAATTTTATCAATAATTGTTTATCAAATTTAGACCACAAAAAAATCTCATAGTAATATATATGATATATATTTACAAATTTTTTATAGGCTAAATTTGAAAAATAATCAAAAGCCCGAAGCTTTATTTTCCTATAAAATTTATTAAAAATTCTAAAGTACTCAAATACCGTATAAGCGCGAAATGATGCCCATCTGCATGTTAATTAATTGACCTGTGCGTTATTTTGGATATGCCCATGTGCATTATTTCGAAATAATGGTTGATTTTTTAAATCCGATACAGTCAATATTCCATAAATGCATGTGATTAGGAAAAGCACACGAGCATTATTTCGAGCTTATACGGTAGCAATAAAAAATTATAATAAATACTTACCACTATCACCATTATTTAAGATTGATAAAGAACCCGATTCCAAAGGTTGATTAATAATTTTAAGCTGCCTTTGACCATTTTGAAATATATTGTTAGATGAAGAATCATCATCGTATAAATCATTACTAAATTGATCTACTTCTTTCGATGCACTGCTTATTGCAGAAGAAATATCATCAATTTCTTGAATATCAGCTAGGTTTGTATCATTATATATATATGATGTTGAAACTTCATCTTCGTATAAACTAACAGTAAGTAAATTATTCCTATTAATAGACAAATCCGCAGGTTGAATCATACCAAGAGATTCTGAAAGTTCACATGCTAAATGATACGAATGATGAATGGTTTGTATAATTTGCTTGTCAGTAGGCCATAATTTTAGTTTTTCTAAAATTAATTCATCTAATTGTCCTTCATTATAATCAAAAAGGTAACCTATTAAAAAAAATATATACATAAAATAAGCAGTATATTTAATAATTTAATATAAACAATAGCGAAAGAATATAATGTATCCCGCATACGCTATTGTATAATATTCACGTTTTCCATAGTATACTGTTGAAAATTAAATTACCTTGTCTAACTGATTTTTCTTTATCGAAATTTAATTTTTGATCCCGTAAAGCCTTATTATAATGACAAATCTTTGGAATCATTTGCATCAATTCAGCAAAGTCAAAATCAGCATTAATTTGACGGGCAATGCCAAAAAAATGTTCGCAGGGTTCAGAACCATGAAACCAAGGTAATAACGGAACTTGCGGATAAAATTCATGATGTGCTTTTATCAACAAAACCATTGACTCTGCAAGTGATATAAATATAGCGAAACTTTGTTGAGATAAGAAATTTGTTCTTAATAAAACGAAATCTGAATACTTTGTTGCTAATGTTTCAATATGAAATTTCCACAGATGAAGAAAAAAATAGGTAGTTATCACCATACGAATACATTCAATAGGTGCGATATCACGATTAAGATAGCTATCTATTAATTCTCCTACAATATAAAATAAATTAATATTATATGTTCTATAACGATAAATATATAAGACCTTCACCTTAAAAATAACTATGAAATATAGTAATTACTATATTTGATAAAGTTATTTACAAGGCAAAGATTTAAATAATATTTAAAATTGAAACTAACCCATTACAAACAAATATACTGCAAATCCCTCCATATCTGATTCAACTTCATAATTTTTTCCAAAACATTGTTTAAAGTTTGATGAACAAAATGCTCGATATGCTGCACCATCGTCCTGCCGATCCAGTTTAATGACATCATTTTTATACATTATTGAATCATATCGATTTATAAGATTTAAAAAGTGCTGAAATCGTGCTGATGACTTTCCAAATGTTAATAATCGTGCACCTGACATTACAGCATTTCGTGCAGTTTTTTTTGCGTGCTTTGGATCTTGTACACGAATTACAGGACCAACACCATCCAAAATAGGGCATGAAAAATTAATATTTAGAGCAGACTCACAAAATGTTAGCTTTTCGGAAGTTTGAGTATTAAGAATTGACTGTTGCGCCTGAAATTCTGTAATTGCACTATCTGATCCCAATGATAAAATATGAAGATATAGTTGTGGTGCAATTTCTTCAATTAATTTTCTATGTAGCTTTTCAATATCTTTAGCAGTATCGGATCCTTTATTTGGAATAAGTGCAATAACAACTGGCGGAAATTTTGGCAAAGGTATCTTTAATTAAAGATTAAATTAGTATTTATTTAATAATTATTGTCGCGGATCATAATGAAACTGGATTAAAATGAAATGAGGGTTTCTATTTAACCCTCTAAAACCCACTTATCCTTGTTTATTATAAACACTACCCTAAAACTAACCTCTAACCCTAACCTCTAACCCTAAAAAATGCACTTCAAAAATTTTTATTTTTCAGCGGCTTGTCTATTTTTTATATTGTACAATATTTCATTTTGATCCGATTTCATTTTAATCCGTCACA